TTAGGACAAATAAGAAAATATTATTTTGAAAATTATTTGAGAGATCTATACTTCTTTTCAATGCTTAAATTGAAATTTATAAGACATGTATTGACCTGATGTATTGACTGTGTGAGTATTAATGCCAAATCTGGCAAAATCAAAATTAGCTTGAAAAAAGGAATAACACTGTAAAACAGGTAAACAGTTATTGGATGATAGAATTGAGAAACATACTAATGATGACAAAGATGAGGAAAGGACAAAAATAACATACAAATAGTATAGCTTTATAGTGTAGACAAATATTTCACATGGTTACAATACAGAGAGAATACATTAATAGTAATACTGTTATCTTAAAAAAAGGGGAAGAATGTAGCTTTATCATCAAAATGAACACTGAAAACAGTGATAAATATGTCGATAAAAATCTCCAGTTATGAGGCCCAAACTCCAGCTGAAAATTTTCAAATCTCCAGTTGTGACTTGACAACTCTGTCACATGTATGTTGACTTGATATTTGTTATATAGTTTACGCCATGACAAGTTATAGATCAAGTTAGCATTTTGTTCCAGCACAATGAATTTTTAACCGGTAGGGGACTATGTATTGCCAGGCAATACTCACAGAATGCTTGTTAAAATAAAGACAGGAACATTAGACAGAGTTATACATACTGATACTCAATGAGAAATTATTTGGTTATTAGTTAAATTCTCATCCTTCCCCAATATGGAATAAGGATTTTATTTTATTATATTTTTTCCCCTGGTTTTCAATGGATAAACTTGGAAATTTGGAGAATAAATTTAAATTGTTTGATAAGATATCAGTATTTATATTCATGACAAAAATCAGGGCATAAGTAGGTAAGATTTATGCTTTGTGTTATCTTTCTTAAGCTTAAATCTGACGAATATTGAATTATATGCTGTGACTCTTTCAGATTTTGTATTGTCAACTGCTCACAAGGCCAAGGGGTTAGAATTTAGTACAGTCAGAGTTACAGATGATTATGGTGTTGAACCCATCCTAAAGAGGTATTATGGCAATAAACCTCAAATAGCTCAGCTACCAATGTGTTCAGGTATTTATGGAATTCGAATTTTTTCTAACTTTGTAAATTTAGTTTCATATCTTTAAATAGACGTATAGATTAGTTCTAGTCACATAAGTTTCAGGAAAATCTCACTTTGTTCAATGTTAGGGGTAAAAAAGTTGTGTTAAGTTTTTTTACCCTAAAACTTATAAACAGTATGACAGCTCATGTTTGTTTTTATTATGCCCACGCCGTAGCGGAGGGGACATTAAGTTTTACCCTTGTCCATCTGTATGTCTGTCCGTCCTTATGTATGTCTTTACGTCCGTACGTCCCAAAATTGGTTTCCATTCTCTAACTTTAGTTTTCCTCAACCAAATGTTATGAAAGTTATACAAATTGCTTATTACCACAAAATACAGATCACTTTTGAATTTTGGTGGTGTCACTTGTACCGTTTTAGAGTTATGCCCCTTTACATATGGAAAAATTGCTGAATTTTTCATTTCCGTTCTCTGTTTGCCTCAAATAAATGTTATGAATCTTATACACAATGCTTATAACCACAAAATACAGATCAAGTTTGAATTTTGGTGGTGTCATTTTTACTGTTCTAGAGTTATGCCCTTTACAAATGGAAAAATTGATGACTTTTTTTGTTTCCGTTATCTAACTTAAGTTTGCCTCAACCAAATGTTATGAAACTTATACACAATACTTATTACCTCAAAATTCAGATCAAGTACAAATTTTGGTGGCATCACTTTTACCGTTCTTCAGTTATATCCCTTTATAACTTTATATGATATGCAAGCAGGGGCATCATCTGTGTCCCATGGACACATTCCCCATTTATTTTTTAATTCCTTATTTGAAAAGAATAATTGCCCTTGGGCTACGAAAATTCCTGTATATGATTGTTTTATTGTCAGTGAGAAGATAATCACAAAATACAATTGCTTGGTACATACCTATTTTAATCAGGGTTGTACTCTCTATTATTTCTTAGCATGTTTGAGCGAAACATGTTTAAAGGAAATGTTTTCTGGAACTACTTAGATTCAACATTTAGTTCTGCAGACTGAAGAAAATTTTTAACATTATATTAAAAATTATTTAATGGCCAATTTTTGCTCAAATTGTACCTTCTCCTTTATACCACTGAAATTTAACTAAATTAAATATTCATTGAGTGAACCAACACCTTCTAACGCTATAATCAGGATGGATACTGAAGTATGCTGTGGTTGTCTTAAATCCTCAGGAAAATAAAACTATTAAAAAAATCATTAAATTGTCCTGAAGACGAAACATGTAGACCAGAGTAAAGCATTTCCTTGCAGTTATCCAGGATGTTGTTGTCTTTTTAGTCCCCTACCGACGAAGTTGAAGGGGACTTTAATTCCGTCTGTCTGTCTGTCCTTCCGTCAGTCCGGCAAATCAGTTTTCCACACTTTTTTTCTTCATGCTTGAAGATATTGATTTGATATTTGGTGTATTGTTTGATCATGACAAGTTACAGATCAAGTTCGAATTTTGTTCTGGTCTGATGATTTTGTGCAGAGTTATGGTCCTTTGACTTAGAAAATTCACTAAAATAATCAGTTTTCCGCACTTTTTTTTGTCATTCTTGAATTATTGATTTGATAATTAGGATATAGTTTTATCATGACAAGTTAAGGTTCAAGTTTGAATTTTGTTCCGGTCTGATGATTTTGTGCAGAGTTATGGTCCTTGGACTTAGAAAATTCACTCAATTAATCAGTTTTTCGCACTTTTTTTTGTCATGCTTGAAGATATTGATTTGATAATTGGTCTATAGTTTTATCATGACAAGTTACAGGTTTGTATTTTGTTCCGGTCTGATGATTTTGTGCAGAGTTATGGTCCTTTGACTTAGAAAATTCACTTATACATTGTATAATCAGTTTTCAACACTTTTGTTTGTCATGCTTGAAGTTATTGACTTGATATTTGTTATATAGTTTACACCATGACAAGTTATAGATCAAGTTAGAATTTTGTTCCAATACAATGAATTTTTAACTGATAGGGGACTATGTATTGCCATGCAATACTCACAGAATGCTTGTTATAGTTAAATGAGATATTTAAGAAATAATTCATGGCAGCCGTAGATTTGTTTTCATTTAACCATGGGTTGGGCATTTATATTAGATTATTTTACCCTGAGCGTTAGCGAGGGGTAATTTACGAATATAAATGCCCAACCCATGGTTGAATGAAAACAAATCTACGGCTACCATGAATCATTTCGATTCTAATAGGACAAATTTGGTTATTTTGTTAACCGTGAAAGCCCTTTACATACGATACTGTTTTGGCTGTTCCGTTTTACCCAATTTTGATAATATTAGTAATATTATATAATTCAATGATTATTTTTTTTTCAATCGCATTTTCACATATATATTTTAATCCAATGTAATTTTATTCGTTCTGAGGCGTTCAAGAAGCTTTAAAATGCCCGGTATTTACATTTGATTTTTTGTTTACAGAAACATATTTGTGACGTCACCTTGTTTCGTTGCCATGTCAAGATAATAACATCATTTCACGGAATTTTCGTTTTATGAAATTTTACCATGAAAAATATATTAAATGGACTGATTTGTTTATTTTGCTGTAGAATAGAGATAAATATATTGTATCTTAAGCTTGGCCTTCGTAGACTGGGGATTTTGATGTGGAAAATTGAGAAATATCTGGCAGTATAAATAAGTTGGTCGTAACGCGGAACAGCCGTTTATGTGTATTACTGCATTTGCGCTAAAGGTAGATATGTTGTGATTATACTGGTTGACGATAATAGGTCATCATATTAGAATGTTAAATCAACAACATGTTATCAGTGAAAAAAAATGATTTAGAATTACAAAAGCAGTTTACTTTCTTGCAGGTCATGTAAATATGGATGAAGGAAATCTCTTGTATGTAGCAGTTACCAGAGCTAAACATGCCTTACTGATGTCACCTATATTGAAAATTATTCTGGAATTATGTGGTGTAAGTTGTGGAATGCCTAGGGGAAATTTCACAACATCTTATCATTACACTTCATGTAATTCTCTTCTGTGGATACAAACTTCATTTTATAAATATGTTTATACCTCTGAAAAAAATGTTAGAAAATCCTCTGTGTTCTTGTCAAAGGCGAGAGACTTCTTGACTGGTAAAATTATGTTATCTACCTTTGTATAAAAATAAGGAGATGTGTTATGAATGCCAATGAGACAGATATCTTAAAAAAAACATAGGAAAAAGTTAAACAAAAGTGGTTAGCTGGTAAAAAAAAATAGTTGAGCATGATTTCTCATCAGAAAATAACACATGATATCCTCTGGGAATTGAACCCTGAACCTCTGTGTTCTAAGTCAGCAAACTAATCAACTGAGCTATATAAGAAATACTTCCCCCAACTCAACTGATTACAAATTAATTACAACTCAAGGGAATCAATCCTGTCACACATGGAACATGTCTGATTCTTTGTACACCTGTTACAGCCTTTATTATTGGTAGAACATGATGATAAGATAATATGCTGATTATTCTTATTCGATAATCAATTTGGCCATTCTGCAACCAATTGGGCAGGAATAGTTTTTAAGTTGACTTCAATTAAGAATGAACTGGTTTTCATAATTTTTATACGACCGCAAAAAATTTTTGCGGTCGTATATTGGTATCACGTTGGCGTCGTCGTTGTCGTCGTCGTCTGAAGACACATTGGTTTTCGCACTCTAACTTTAGTTTAGTTTAAGTGAATGGATCTCTATGAAATTTTACCATAAGGTTCAATACCACAAAAGGAAGGTTGGGATTGATTTTGGGGGTTATGGTACCAACAGTTAAGGAATTAGGGGCCAAAAAGGGGCCAAAAATAAGCATTTTTGTAACTTCCAGACATAACTTGTGTGTTAGTGTATGGATCTCTCTGACATTGTACTGTAATGCTGGGATTGATTTTGGGGGTAATTGCCTCAAAATATTAGGAATTAGGGGCCAAAAAACAAGCATTTTTCTAGTTTCATGACAATAACTTGTGTGTAAGTGTATGGATCTTTCTGAAATTGTACTACAAGGTTCCATATCACAAAGGGAAAGCTGGAATAGAGTTTGGGGGTAATTGCCCGAAACGTTTAGGAATAAGGGGCCAAAAAGGGGCCAAAAATAAGCATTTTTCTAGTTTCATGACAATAACTTGTGTTCAAGTGTATGGATCTCTCTGAAATTGTACCACAAGGTTCCATATCACACAGGGAATGCTGGGATTGATTTTGGGGGTAATTGCCTCAAAATATTAGGAATTAGGGGCCAAAAAAGGGGCAAAAAACAAGCATTTTTCTAGTTTCATGATAATAACTTGTGTGTAAGTGTATGGATCTTTCTGAAATTATACTACAAGGTTCCATATCACAAAGGGAAAGCTGGAATTGAGTTTGGGGGTAATTGCCCAAAACGTTTAGGAATAAGGGGCCAAAAAGGGGCCAAAAATAAGCATTTTTCTAGTTTCCAGACAATAACTTGTGTTCAAGTGTATGGATCTCTGTGAAATTGTACTGCAAGGTACCATACCACAAAGGGAAGGTTGGGATTGAGTTTGGGGGTGATGAATCATAAGGGGGTTCAAAAAATTTGGGGGGGGGATTTTTTTTTTTTTCCTTTTTTTTCTTTTTTTCCTTTTTTTTTTCTTTTAAAATTTTCCATTTTAAGTTGGTTATTTCTGTTTTATATTTAAAAGCAAATAATTATGATATGGTAGGAGATACACACCAAACAGGATGTGTAAATTATTATATAATAAGTATTGTGCAATAGCAAGAAATTTTCAATTGCACAGTATTGCACAATAGCAAGAAATCTTCAATTGCACAGTATTGCGCAATAGCAAGAAATCTTCAATTGCACAGTATTGTGCAATAGCAAGAAATATCCAATAGCACAATATTGCACAATAGCAAGAAATTGTCAATTGTACAGTATTGCGCAATAGCAAGAAATATTCAATTGCACAGTATTGTGCAAAAGAAGATACTTCGTATAAATTGCTTATTTCTTGACCAATTTCAATGGGGTTTTTTATTCTTGAATTCTTGGGGTTCTTTAATATGCTGATTCTAACCGTGTATTAAGTTTTTGGATTTTGGGCCCCGTTTTTAAATTGGTCCAAAGGGTCCAAAATTAAAGTTTGTTTGATTTCATCAAAAATTGAATTATAGGGGTTCTTTGATATGCCGAATCTAACCGTGTATTTAGATTCTTAATTTTTTGTTCCGTTTTCAAATTGGTCTACATTAAGGTCCAAAGGGTCCAAAATTAAACTTAGTTTGATTTTAACAAAAATTGAATTCTTAGGGTTCTTTGATATGCTGAATCTAAACATGTATTTAGATTTTTGATTTTTGGGCCCCATTATCAACTTTGTCCACATTTAGGTCAAAAGGGTCCAAAATTAAACTTTGTTTGATTTCATCAAAAATTGGGTTCTTGGGGTTCTTTGATATGCTGAATCTAACCATGTATTTAGATTTTGGATATTGGACCATAATAGGTGAATATCCAATTTAAAATTTTTAAGTTCTTAGACCACATTCATTCTGTGTCAGAAACCTATGCTGTGTCAAATATTTAATCACAATCCAAATTCAGAGCTGTATCAAGCTTGAATGTTGTGTCCATACTTGCCCCAACTGTTCAGGGTTCAACCTCTGCGGTCGTATCAAGCTGCGCCCTGCGGAGCATTTTATTTATTATTGGTTTCCAATAACACATTGAATTTAAATGAAATGTTCTATTTGTAACACAAACCAACATAAATATCTTTTAAGTTTAAAAAATGGTTACATCTGTTGTAAATACCAAAATGTTTTTGTTTGTAGGAAAGTCATCAACTCCAAGAACAAGATATCGCCATGAAATGTAGAGAGTCCCAGCAAGAATTCAAACCTTATGCACTTACCATACAGAAAGAAGTAGTCAAACTGGTAAGATATATTGTAGATTTATAACTTTCTTAAGGGGAGTCGATTCAGTTTCAAGTCTTTTTGTAATTTTCATTTCAAAACATCAAAATATTCTTTTGTAAATTCTTTAGATTAATAATTTTGCACAATTATTAGTTTTTAAAGATTTCAAGTCCTGGGGAAAGATTCCATTATTTTTTATGTCATAAACAAAACTAGTAACAATGGGACCTTGAACTTTCATTACTGTTTTTAATAGTTATCTCCCCTGTAACTGTGTCGGATCCCCTTCAAACAGGTTACTATTTGACCATTAAAGATGTTAGTGGTTGAATCTCTTAAGCAGGTTACATGTGCTGTTTTAAACACAGCACACTGGATGCACTTTACCCTTAATTTTAGAAATATGATATAAAAGGAAAAAAAAACTTCTTGAAATAGACGGGTTATTTCGCATTACTTGTCAGCCAGAATTATGCCATTTAAATTGTTGGAACTTTGTACTGTATCTGTATTCACTAGATTCAATAGTTCTTGTGTTTACCTATAAAACAGTCCATTTTGAGTAAATATTTTTATCATGAAGAAATCTATACGTCAGTAGTCCCAGGCTCGACAAAAAGGCATTAGAATGAATTATTTGATTGGTTTAAATTTGTTTTGTTGCCAATCTCCCTATCTGGGTTTATTTTTTCTTTCAGAAGGATACCAGTGAAAATGAAGAGAGTAATAGTGACTGTACTGAAAGTTATGATTTTATTGATGAAGATGAGGATTTCATTGATGATGAAGATGAGGATTTCATTGATGATGAAGAAGACTTTACTGAGGATGAAGATGAGGATTTTTCAGATGATGAGGACAGTGATTACAGTGAAGATACTGATGATGAACAGTAGTTTGTTTTCTGTATGGTGTATAGAATCAGAGATTTCCAATTTTTAGCCTAACAAAAACGAATTAAAATACCATTGGCATATTACGTCTAAGTCTTAAATGCAAAAAAAGGAAAATGATATATGATTATGGGTTTTAGTATTCATGACTGATTTCCCAATTTTCTAGTTGTTTGAAAGTGGGTAGTTTTCGTGGTATATATTGCTCAAATGTAGATTCTGTGGAACACAGTAAGGAATCTTTACTAATTTGAAGCACGATTACGGTAGTTGACTGAATAGGAACCTAGTTTCCTGTAGAGAGTCTGATAATATAGGCTATTTGGGTATACCAGAATAGAACCATACATTCATAGCATTAGTTTTATTTTAGTGGATATGTTTAGTCTTTATTTTGTTAAGCATGTTACTGTATTATACAAAGGTGTATGAAGAACTCATTTAAATGGTGCTTAATATAGTGCATATAGATTATTATAATAGTCCAAGTTTTCATTCATGTATTATCTAGTCCAAGTTTTCATTCATATATTATCTAGTCCAAAATTTCATTCGTATAATTATGTTTTTTGTTTTTTGTGCATGATGATGAAAATCAGGGGGATTTTGTTTAATACCTATCCATTTGTCAATCTGTATAGTGTGTACATTGATTGCCTATCATACTCATATGCTGGAAATATTTTATTGTTCAGAATATTCATATATGAACATATTGATTAGGATTTAGGAGACTTGATTTCCTTAATTTTTTCACAAAATGACACCCTGTAAAATTTTAAAGAAATATTTATACACATGTCAGGATTGTCATGTTGTCAATTGTTCACTAATTATTGGTTATTGTAGCCTAGTCATGTTTTTCAACATTTTGGATATACAGCACATTGATTGTGCTTAACCCCTCCACTGAAACAGTTTCACCAAAAAACAAAGTTGTAATGCTAGGGTATCATTTGTGATTTCAGTAACAACCATTTTAAACAAGAGTAAAACATCCTATATGCAAAAACAGTATTTAATTTTTACCGGTAGCTAAAATAGTAAAATATGTTATTATAAAATAATATACATGATATATGCCTCAGGGAATAGTTAATATCTCAGGGACCACAAACTTGCTATTACCCTCACAACCATTCAATAGTTGTATAACATTTTATATAGGAACCATTTTTTTTTTATATAAGAAATTTAAAGTTTTAAATTGAACTTAAGATTTTACAAATTTAAAGTTTTCATCAGATTTTATGAAGTATTATTCAGTGATTTGTTAGTGGAGCAGTTTACATGCAAGTCAAAAAGTATTGTTATATATATTTGTTAAATAGTTTACAAGTTTTAGATAATATGTGCTTTTCTTTTTCCTTAGATTTTTGAGAAGTATAGATTCTATTTTGTTTAACATTTTTATACGACCGCAAAAATTAAAAATTTTTTGGTCGTATATTGGTATGACGTTGGCGTCGGCGTCGTCGTAGTCGTCGTCCTCCGAAGACACATTGGTTTTCGCACTCTAACTTTAGTTTAAGTGAATGGATCTCCATGAAATTTTACCATAAGGTTCAATACCACGAAAGGAAGGTTGGGATTGATTTTGGGGGTTATGGTACCAACAGTTAAGGAATTAGGGGCCAAAAAGGGGCCAAAAATAAGCATTTTTGTAACTTCCAGACAATAACTTGTGTGTAAGTGTATGGATCTCTCTGACATTGTACCACAAGGTTCCATATCACAAAGGGAAGGCTGTAATTGATTTTGGGGGTAATTGCCTCAAAATTTTAGGAATAAGGGGCCAAAAAAGGGGCAAAAAACAAGCATTTTTCTAGTTTCATGACAATAACTTGTGTGTAAGTGTTTGGATATTTCTGAAATTGTACTACAAGGTTCCATACCACAAAGGGAAAGCTGGAATTGAGTTTGGGGGTAATTGCCCGAAACGTTTAGGAATTGGGGGCCAAAAAGGGGCCAAAAATAAGCATTTTTCTAGTTTCCAGACAATAACTTGTGTTCAAGTGTATGGATCTCTCTGAAATTGTACTGCAAGGTACCATACCACAAAGGGAATGCTGGGATTGAGTTTGGGGGTGATGAATCATAAGAGGGTTCAAAAAATTTGGGGGGGGGATTTTTTTTCTTTTCTTTTTTTCCTTTTTTTTTTCTTTTAAAATTTTCCATTTTAAGTTGGTTATTTCTGATTTATATTTAAAAGCAAATAATAATGATATGGTAGGAGATACACACCAAACAGGATATGTAAATTATTATATAATAAGTATTGTGCAATAGCAAGAAATTTTCAATTGCACAGTATTGCACAATAGCAAGAAATCTTCAATTGCACAGTATTGCGCAATAGCAAGAAATCTTCAATTGCACAGTATTGCGCAATAGCAAGAAATATCCAATAGCACAATATTGCGCAATAGCAAGAAATTGTCAATTGTACAGTATTGCGCAATAGCAAGAAATATTCAATTGCACAGTATTGTGCAAAAGAAGATACTTCGTATAAATTGCTTATTTCTTGATCAATTTCAATGGGGTTTTATTCTTGAATTCTTGGGGTTCTTTAATATGCTGAATCTAACTGTGTATTAAGTTTTTGGATTTTGGGACCCGTTTTTTAATTGGTCCACATTGAGGTCCAAAGGGTCCAAAATTTAACTTTGTTTGATTTCATCAAAAATTGAATTATTGGGGTTCTTTGATATGCCGAATCTAACCGTGTATTTAGATTCTTAATTTTTGGTTCCGTTTTCAAATTGGTCTACATTAAGGTCCAAAGGGTCCAAAATTAAACTTAGTTTGATTTTAACAAAAATTGAATTCTTAGGGTTCTTTGATATGCTGAATCTAAACATGTATTTAGATTTTTGATTATGGGCCCAGTTTTCAAATTGGTCTACATTAAGGTCCAAAGGGTCCAAAATTAAACTTTTTTGTTTGATTTTAGCAAAAATTGAATATATGAGGTTCTTTGATATGCTGAATCTGAACATGTATTTAGATTTTTGATTTTTGGCCCTGTTTTCAAGTTGGTCCAAATTGGGGTCCAAAATTAAACTTTGTTTGATTTCAACAAAAATTGAATATATGGGGTTCTTTGATATGCTGAATCTAACCATGTATTTAGATTTTTTTTGTGGACCCCGTTATCAAATTGGTTCTTATTAAGGTCAAAAGGGTCCAAAATTAAACTTAGTCTGATTTTAACAAAAATTGAATTCTTGGGGTTCTTTGATATGCTGAATCTAAACATGTGTTTAGATTTTTGATTATGGGCCCAGTTTTCAAGTTGGTCCAAGATAGGGTCCAGTATTTAAACTTTGTTTGATTTCAACAAAAATTGAATATATGGGGTTCTTTGATATGCTGAATCTAAACATGTATTTAGATTTTTGATTATGGGTCCAGTTTTCAAGTTGGTCCAAATTGGGGTCCAAAATTAAACTTTTTTTGTTTGATTTCAACAAAAATTGAATATATGAGGTTCTTTGATATGCTGAATCTAACCATGTATTTAGATTTTTTATTTGTGATCCCGCTATCAAATTGGTTCATATTGAGGTCAAAAGGGTCCAAAATTAAACTTTGTTTGATTTCATCAAAAATTGAATTATTGGGGTTCTTTGATATGCCAAATCTAACCGTGTTTTTAGATTTTTAATTTGGGTCCCGTTTTTTAAATTGGTCTTCATTGAGGTCCAAAGGGTCCAAAATTAAACTTAGTTTGATTTTAACAAAAATTGAATTCTTGGGGTTCTTTGATATGCTGAATCTAAACATGTGTTTAGATTTTTGATTATAGGCCCAGTTTTCAAGTTGGTCCAAGTTGGGGTCCAAAATTAAACTTTTTTTGATTTCAACAAAAATTGAATATATGGGGTTCTTTGATATGCTGAATCTAACCATGTATTTAGATTTTTTATTTGTGAACCCCATTATCATATTGGTTCATATTAAGGTCAAAAGGGTCCAAAATTAAACTTTGTTTGATTTCATCAAAAATTGAATTATTGGGGTTCTTTGATATTCCAAATCTAACCGTGTATTTAGATTTTTAATTTTAAGTCCCGTTTTTTAAATTGGTCTACATTAAAGTCCAAAGGGTCCAAAATTAAACTTAGTTTGATTTTAGCAAAAATTGAATTCTTGGGGTTCTTTGATATGCTGAATCTAAACATGTATTTAGATTTTTGATTATGGGTCCAGTTTTCAAGTTGGTCCAAATTGGGGTCCAAAATTAAACTTTGTTTGATTTCAACAAAAATTGAATATATGGGGTTCTTTGATATGCTGAATCTAACCATGTATTTTGGTTTTGGACATTGGACCATAATAGGTAAATTAAAAAAATTCAGGTTCTTAGACCACATTCTTTCTGTGTCAGAAACCTATGCTGTGTCAAATATTTAATAACAATCCAAATTCAGAGCTGTATCAAGCTTGAATGTTGTGTCCATACTTGCCCCAACTGTTCAGGGTTCGACCTCTGCAGTCGTATCAAGCTGCGCCCCAGCGAAGCATTTTATTCAACATGATATATTTTCAGCTCATTTTATTGATATTTTAATTTAGATTTTGTGTTGATTTCAATTTTCACTTAACCTTCCTATAGAATTTTTGCAGGTTCTGAAATAAATGTGCAGTCGTTAATGATTTGTTTCAACAGATATGCAGCCATATTTGATATACTAGATGAAAACTTCCAATAAGATTATTTGCAAAAATTACATTACCTAAGGCAGACAACAGTTTTGGTTTTGTTGAGTTGAAGGGTAATATATGCATGGGCCCAGAGTTATGGCCCTAATATATGAGAGGAAGAATAGAATTTAGTATTTACAAGTTTTCTGAATCATTGAAATACTTTCATGCTAGAATTCTACAAGGAATTAAATACAGTCTTTTGTGTTCCCCTAACTTGACAGGATAAATATGGTTTTGGCCTAAGCTATGTACAGTGCTGTATCAAAAGGCAAGAAAACAATGAAAGATTGCTCTATATTTCATATAATAGGGAATTTATTTCAATTTTTATGCCCCCGCCTTAGTGTAGGGGTATTAAGTTTTACCCTTGTCCATCTTTACGTCCATACGTCCCGAAATTGGTTTCCGTTCTCTAACTTTAGTTTGCTTCAACCAAATGTTATGAAACTTATACACAATGCTTATAACCACAAAACACAGATCAAGTTCGAATTTGGGTGGCATCACTTTTACCTTTCTAGAGTAATGCCCCTTTACAAATGGAAAAATTGCTGAATTTTTTGTTTCCGTTCTCTAACTTCAGTTTGCCTCAACCAAATGTAATGAACTTTATACACAATGCTTATTGCCACAAAATTCAGATCAAGTGCAAATTTTGGTAGCATCACTTTTACCGTTCTTCAGTTATATCCCTTTATAACTTTTTTTAACTTTTGGTGGCGTCATTTTTATCGTTCTAAGTTCTAAAGTTATGCCCATTTACAAATGGAAAAATTGCTGAATTGTTCGTTTCCATCCTCTCATTAAGTTTGCCTCAACCAAATGTTATGAATCTTATACACAATGCTTATTACCACAAAACACTGATCAAGTTTAAATTTTGGTGGCGTCACTTCTGACGTTCTAGAGTAATGCCCCTTTTAAATGGAATAAATTGCTTCGCTGAGCGCAGCTGGATATGACCGCAGATGTCCAACCCTGAAAAGTTGGGGCCAAAATGGACACAATATTTGTGCTTGATACAGGTCTGAATTTGGATTGTAATTAAATTTTTGACACATAATAGTTTTCTGACACAGAATAACTGTAGTCAAAGAACTTCAAATTGGTTATGTTATTTGAATTTATATTAAATTTTTTGCTTTTGTGCAATACACTATGCGAATTGACCCCCCTCTCCCTCAAAAAAAATAAATTTTACCCCGTTTTTTTGTGTTTGTGCAATACACTATGCTGTTGAATATTAACCCCCCAAAAAAAAATATTTGAAGAAATTTTCTTTTAATTTCTGAACTCTGAAATGAGAAAAATTGTCCCCCTCCAATTTTTGTCACCTCCCCCCCTTTCCCTTATTCCAAAAAATAATTCTTTCCCTCAAGTTATGGTCAGTATCTCAGACAATCATCATTTCTTTATACATAATTTACAAGCAGTGTAAGGGGATAATCACACATTGTTATTTAATTTGATTTTGATTTTGATTTGGATTACCTCCCTTACACTGCTTTTAAATTGTCTCAATTGTCTTTTAACCAGAAAAACCCTTGTTTTTCCCCTTTTTTTGCCCCTAATTCCTAAATGGTTTGAGCCATAACCCCCCAAAGTCAATCCTAACCATCCCTTTGTAGTATGGAAACTTGTGGTATAATTTCAGAGAGATTCATACACTTTAACACAAGTTATTGTCTGGAAACTACAAAAATGCTTATTTGGGCCCCTTTTTTGGCCCCTAATTCCTAAACAGTTGGGACCATAACCCCCAAAATCAATCCCAACCTTCCTTTAGTGGTTATAAACCTTGTGTTAAAATTTTATTGATTTCTATTTACTTATACTAAAGTTATTATCCGGTAACCATCTGTCTTCGGACGACGACAACATGATACCAATATAGACCAAAAATTTTTTAATTTTTGCGGTCGTATAAAAATTGCTGAGTTTTTCGTTTCCATTCTCTTACTTCAGTTTGCACCAACCAAATGTTATGAAACATAAATACACAATGCTTATTACCACAAAGCTTGGATCAAGTATGAATTTGGGTTGTGTCACTTTTACCATTTTTATACGACGGCAAAAAAAATTTTTTGTGGTCGTATATTGGTATGACGTTGGCGTCGTTGTCATCGTCATCGTCGTCCGAAGACACATAAGTTTTCGCACTCTAACTTTATTTTAAGTTAATGGATCTCAATGAAAATTTATCCATAAGGTTCAATACCACAAAAGAAAGGTGGGGATTAATTTTGGGGGTTATGGTACCAACAGTTAAGGAATTAGGGGTCAAAAATAAGCATTTTTGTAACTTCCAGACATAACTTGTGTGTAAGTGTATGGATCTCTCTGACATTGTACCACAAGGTTCCATATCACAAAGGGAATTCTGGGATTGATTTTGGGGGTAATTGCCTCCAATTTTTAGGAATTAGGAGCCAAAAAGGGGCAAAAAACAAGCATTTTTCTAGTTTCATAAAAATAACTTGTGTGTAAGATGAAATTGTACTACAAGGTTCCATATCACAAAGGGAAAGCTGGAATTGAGTTTGGGGGTAATTGCCCAAAAAGTTAAGGAATAAGGGGCCAAAAAGGGGCCAAAAATAAGCATTTTTCTAGTTTCCAGACAATAACTTGTGTTCAAGTGTATGGATCTCTCTGAAATTGTACTGCAAGGTACCATACCACAAAGGGAAGGCTGGGATAGATTTTGGGGGTGATTCCCTCAAAATTTTAGGAATTAGGGGCCATAAAAGGGTAAAAAAACAAGCATTTTTCTAGTTTCAGGACAATAACTTGTGTGTAAGTGTATGGATCTTTATGAAATTGTACTGCAAGGTTCCATATCACAAAGGGAAAGCTGGGTTTGAGTTTGGGGGTAATTGCCCTAAACGTTTAGGAATTTGGGGCAAAAAAGGGGCAAAAAAACAAGCATTTTTCTAGTTCCAGACAATAACTTGTGTTCAAGTGTATGGATCTTTATGAAATTGTACTACAAGGTTCCATATCACAATGGGAAAGCTGGAATTGAGTTTGGGGGTAATTGCCCAAAAATTTAGGGAATAAGGGGCCAAAAATAAGCATTTTTCTAGTTTCCAGACAATAACTTGTGTTCAAGTGTATGGATCTCTCTGAAATTGTACTGCAAGGTACCATACCACAAAGGGAAGGCTGGGATAGATTTTGGGGGTGATTCCCTCAAAATTTTAGGAATTAGGGGCCATAAAAGGGCAAAAAAACAAGCATTTTTCTAGTTTCAGGACAATAACTTGTGTGTAAGTGTATGGATCTTTATGAAATTGTACTGCAAGGTTCCATATCACAAAGGGAAAGCTGGGTTTGAGTTTGGGGGTAATTGCCCTAAATGTTAGGAATTTGGGGCAATAAAGGGGCCAAAAAACAAGCATTTTTCTAGTTCCAGACAATAACTTGTGTTCAAGTGTATGGATCTCTCTGAAATTGTACTGCAAGGTACCATACCACAAAGGGAAGGCTGGGATTGAGTTTGGGGGTGATCAATCATAAGGGGGTTAAAAAAATTTGGGGGGGGGATTTTTTTTTCCTTTTTTTTTTTTAAATTTTCCATTTTAAATTGGTTATTTCTGATTTATATATAAAAGCAAATAATAATGATATGGTTTGAATAGGTAAATTAAAATTTTTAAGTTCTTAGACCACTTTCATTCTGTGTCAGAAACCTATGCTGTGTCAAATATTTAATTACAATCCAAATTCAGTGCTGTATCAAGCTTGAATGTTGTGTCCATACTTGCCCCAACTGTTCAGGGTTCGACCTCTGCGGTCATATCAAGCTGCGCCCCAGCGGAGCATTTTATTGAATTATGTCCCTTTATAATGTTATATGAAAGCGGGGGCATCATCTGTGTCCCATGGACACAGTCCCAATTTATTTATTATGAGGTCATTTTAACAGGTTTTTATACGACCGCAAAAAAATTTTTGTGGTTGTATATTTGTATGACGTCGTCGTCGTCGTCGTCGTCGTCGTCCGGCGTCGTTGTCCGAAGATGAATTAGTTTTTGCACTCTAACTTTAGTTTAAGTGAATGGATCTCTGTGAAATTTTACCATAAGGTTCAATACCACAAAAGGAAGGTGGGGATTGATTTTGGGGGTTATGGTACCAACAGTTAAGGAATTAAGGGCCAAAAAGGGGCAAAAAATAAGCATTTTCTAGTTTCCAGACAATAACTGTGGAACGGTGTATGGATCTCTCTAAAATTATACTACAAGTTTCCATACCACAAAGGGATGGTTAGGATTTGCTTTGGGGGGTTATGGCTCAAACCATTTAAGAATTAGGGGCAAAAAAGGGGGAAAAACAAGGTTGTCCTGGTTAATGGACAAATACTTTAGTACAAAACATAATTTAAAGCAGTGTAAGGGAGATATATCAGATACATCATTGAAATTATCTCCCTTACACTGCTTTTAAATTATGTATAAAGTAATGGTTAATGAACAATTAAGATAATTTAAAACAGTGTAAGGGAGGTAATCCAAATACAACGTTTTGGTTACTTCCCTTACACTGCTTTTAAATTATGTTTAAAGAAATGCATATTTATAAAGGAAGACCAGTAAAAATATCTGCAAATGTTGCATCTTTTTTTTTTACAAAAAAATCCATATGAAAGATTTGACACTATATTTTAAATTCTATTATAAAATAGATTAAGTTAGCACTATGGTAAATTTAAATGGGAAATTATGGTTGCAAACTCCATTGGAAATTTGAATTGAGATTATGACCATATCTTGAGAGAAAGAATTTTTTGGGGGAAAAAAGGGGGGGGGGGGGGGTAAAAAGAAATTGTGGGGGTCAATTTTTTCTCATTTCAGATTTCAGAAATTAAAAAGAATTATTCTTCAAATATTATTTTTTTTTCAAATTTCAAATATTGAAAAATTTCAAGAAGTAATCTTTAATTGCACAGTATGGTGCATTAGATTTGTAAAATCTTTGACCACATTTATTTATTTGTTATGCCGAATCTAACCGTGTATTTAGATTTTTAATTTTGGGTCCAGTTTTCAAATTGGTCTACATTAAGGTCCAAAGGGTCCAAAATTAAACTTTGTTTGATTTTAACAAAAATTGAATATATGGGGTTCTTTGATATGCTGAATCTAACCATGTATTTAGATTTTTTATTTGTGGACCACACTATCAAATTTGTTCATATTGAGGTCAAAAGGGTCCAAAATTAAACTTTGTTTGATTTCATCAAAAATTGAATTATTGGGGTTCTTTGATATGCCAAATCTAACCGTGTATTTAGATTTTTAATTTTGGGTCCCGTTTTTTAAATTGGTCTAAATTAAGGTCCAAAGGGTCCAAAATTAAACTTAGTTTGATTTTAACAAAAATTGAATTTTTGGGGTTCTTTGATATGCTGAATCTAAACATGTGTTTAGATTTTTGATTATGGGCCCAGTTTTCAAGTTGGTTTAAGTTGGGGTCCAAAATTAAACTTTGTTTGATTTCAACAAAAATTGAATATATGGGGTTCTTTGATATGCTGAATCTAAACATGTATTTAGATTTTAGATTTTTGGCCCAGTTTTCAAGTTGGTCCAAATTGGGGTCCAAAATTAAACTTTGTTTGATTTCAACAAAAATTGAATATATGGGGTTCTTTGATATGCTGAATCTTACCATGTATTTAGATTTTTTATTTGTGGGCCCGCTATCAAATTGGTTCATATTGAGGTCAAAAGGGTCCAAAATTAAACTTTGTTTGATTTCATCAAAAATTGAATTATTGGGGTTCTTTGATATGCCAAATCTAACCATGTTTTTAGATTTTTAATTTTGGGTCCCGTTTTTATACGACCGCAAAAATTGAAAATTTTTTGGTCGTATATTGGTATGACGTTGGCGTCGTCGTCGTCGTCGTCGTCGTCGTCGTCGTCGTCGTCGTCGTCGTCGTCGTCGTCGTCGTCGTCTGGCGTCGTCCGGCGTCGTCCGAAGACACATTGGTTTTCGCACTCTAACTTTAGTTTAAGTGAATGGATCTCCATGAAATTTTACCATAAGGTTCAATACCACGAAAGGAAGGTTGGGATTGATTTTGGGGGTTATGGTACCAACAGTTAAGGAATTAGGGGCCTAAAAGGGGCCAAAAATATGCATTTTTGTAATTCCAGACAATAACTTGTGTGTAAGTGTATGGATCTCTCTGACATTGTACCACAAGGTTCCATATCACAAAGGGAAGGCTGTAAATGATTTTGGGGGTAATTGCCTCAAAATTTTAGGAATTAGGGGCCAAAAAAGGGGCAAAAAACAAGCATTTTTCTAGTTTCATGACAATAACTTGTGTGTAAGTGTTTGTATATTTCTGAAATTGTACTACAAGGTTCCATATCACAAAGGGAAAGCTGGAATTGAGTTTGGGGGTAATTGCCTGAAACGTTTAGGAATTGGGGGCCAAAAAGGGGCCAAAAATAAGCATTTTTCTAGTTTCCAGACAATAACTTGTGTTCAAGTGTATGGATCTCTCTGAAATTGTACTGCAAGGTACCATACCACAAAGGGAAGGCTGGGATTGAGTTTGGGGGTGATGAATCATAAGGGGGTTCAAAAAATTTGGGGGGGGGGATTTTTTTTTTTTTCTTTTTTTTTCTTTTTTTCCTTTTTTTTTTCTTTTAAAATTTTCCATTTTAAGTTGGTTATTTCTGATTAATATTTAAAAGCAAATAATAATGATATGGTAGGAGTTACACACCAAACAGGATGTGTAAATTATTATATAATAAGTATTGTGCAATAGCAAGAAATTTTCAATTGCACAGTATTGCACAATTGCAAGAAATCTTCAATTGCACAGTATTGCGCAATAGCAAGAAATCTTCAATTGCACAGTATTGCGCAATAGCAAGAAATATCCAATAGCACAATATTGCGCAATAGCAAGAAATTGTCAATTGTACAGTATTGCACAATAGCAAGAAATATTCAATTGCACAGTATTGTGCAAAAGAAGATACTTCGTATAAATTGCTTATTTTTTGATCAATTTCAATGGGGTTTTATTCTTGAATTCTTGGGGTTCTTTAATATGCTGAATCTAACCGTGTATTAAGTTTTTGGATTTTGGGCCCCGTTTTTAAATTGGTCTACATTAAGGTCAAAAGGGTCCAAAATTAAACTTAGTTTGATTTTAACAAAAATTGAATTATTGGGGTTCTTTGATATGTCGAATCTAACCGTGTATTTAGATTCTTGATTATGGGCCCCAGTTTTCAAGTTGGTCCAAATTGGGGTCCAAAATTAAACTTTGTTTGATTTCAACAAAAATTGAATATATGGGGTTCTTTGATATGCTGAATCTAACCATGTATTTAGATTTTTGATTTTTGGGCCCCGTTATCAACTTTGTCCACATTGAGGTCAAAAGGGTCCAAAATTAAACTTTGTTTGATTTCATCAAAAATTGAATTATTGGGGTTCTTTGATATGCCAAATCTAACCGTGTATTTAGATTTTTAATTTTGGGTCCCGTTTTTTAAATTGGTCTACATTAAGGTCCAAAGGGTCCAAAATTAAACTTAGTTTGATTTTAACAAAAATTGAATTTTTGGGGTTCTTTGATATGCTGAATCTAAACATGTGTTTAGATTTTTGATTATGGGACCAGTTTTCAAGTTGGTCCAAGTTGGGGTCCATAATTAAACTTTGTTTGATTTCAACAAAAATTGAATATATGGGGTTCTTTGATATGCTGAATCTAAACATGTATTTAGATTTTTGATTTTTGGCCCAGTTTTCAAGTTGGTCCAAATTGGGGTCCAAAATTAAACTTTGTTTGATTTCAACAAAAATTGAATATATGGGGTTCTTTGATATGCTGAATCTTACCATGTATTTAGATTTTTTATTTTGTAGGCCCGCTATCAAATTGGTTCATATTGTGGTCAAAAGGGTCCAAAATTAAACTTTGTTTGATTTCATCAAAAATTGAATTATTGGGGTTCTTTGATATGCCAAATCTAAACGTGTTTTTAGATTTTTAATTTTGGGTCCCGTTTTTTAAATTGGTCTACATTAAGGTCCAAAGGGTCCAAAATTAAACTTTGTTTGATTTTAACAAAAATTGAATTCTTGGGGTACTTTGATATGCTGAATCTAAACATGTGTTTAGATTTTTGATTATGGGACCAGTTTTCAAGTTTGTCCAAGTTGGGGTCCAAAATTAAACTTTGTTTGATTTCAACAAAAATTGAATATATGGGGTTCTTTGATATGCTGAATCTAACCATGTATTTTGATTTTGGACATTGGACCATAATAGGTAAATTAAAAAAATTGAAGTTCTTAGACCACATTCTTTCTGTGTCAGAAACCTATGCTGTGTCAAATATTTAATCACAATCCAAATTCAGAGCTGTATCAAGCTTGAATGTTGTGTCCATACTTGCCCCAACTGTTCAGGGTTCGACCTCTGCGGTCGTATCAAGCTGCGCCCAGCGAAGCATTTTATTTAAATTGGTCTACATTAAGGTCCAAAGAGTCCAAAATTAAACTTAGTTTGATTTTAACAAAAATTGAATTCTTGGGGTACTTTGATATGCTGAATCTAAACATGTGTTTAGATTTTTGATTATGGGACCAGTTTTCAAGTTTGTCCAAGTTGGGGTCCAAAATTAAACTTTGTTTGATTTCAACAAAAATTGAATATATGGGGTTCTTTGATATGCTGAATCTAACCATGTATTATGATTTTGGACATTGGACCATAATAGGTAAATTAAAAAAATTGAAGTTCTTAGACCACATTCTTTCTGTGTCAGAAACCTATGCTATGTCAAATATTTAATCACAATCCAAATTCAGAGCTGTATCAAGCTTGAATGTTGTGTCCATACTTGCCCCAACTGTTCAGGGTTCGACCTCTGCGGTCGTATCAAGCTGCGCCCAGCGAAGCATTTTATTCAAGAATTTTCTACTTAATAAAGTAGAATTATTGGTTCTCTTTATGATTTGAATTTTTTTTTATGACAATTTATACCCAATACCATGTCTGAGAATACAGGACAATATTCCTAAAACAATGAAAAATAATGATCCTTCTTTGAAAGGGGAGAATTTTTATAAACGTTTGTTTTGGAGATATGACCTTAAAAATAATTTTGGAAAAATAATTAGTAATACATTGTATATTCCTTGCTAGCATCTTTTGTTACTATAGTACTACATAATTGTTTGAATATGCAGATAATCATCAGATTAAGATTTTCCAACTATTTAAATACTGGTAAAGTTATGTGTGTTTGATATTTTAATTAGAATGTATGTTAAATTTGACCCAGGTAATCATGATACGGTGTTAGTTAGAAAAAGGGCTGACATATAAATTATTTTATTCACACTGGTCTGCCTTTGACCCTTATTAAGGACTAGAAAATATATATGATCACATATTGTGATACTTTGGTTAAAAGTAGGTTTTATGGAATAAAATTATTCCTTTCTGGTATAAAATGAATTTAATTTTGAATATGATCTTGAAAAGTTTAAATGATTGAAAAGTTTTTTAAATCTCAAGAATTTTACAAAAAAAAAGTTCTTCAAAGTAATTTATGATGTTATTTCTAATATAACTTAATTATAGGCAAGCACATATGAAAAATAAGTTTGTATGTGAACTTTTTTTTTTCGTTTCAAAAAATGAGAATGTTTACACTCTTTAAAATTTTTAATTCTGATAATGAATATGCAGTTTTTTTTCGTAGTTTTTTCTGTATTTTTATGGGCACAGTTTTGGTTGTTTAAATTTGAAATATTTTTTGTTGTCATGAACTATTTTTATATGACCGCAAACAATTTGCGTTCTTGTATTTCTATCATGTCGTCGTTGTCCGAAGACACATTTGGTTTCCGGACAATAACTTTAGTTTAAGTGAATGGATCTCTATGAAATTTTACCAGAAGGTTCAATACCACAAAGGGAAGGCTGGGATTGAGTTTGGGGGTAATGGCCCCAAATGTTTAGAAATTAGGGGCAAAAAAGGGGCCAAAAACAAGCATTTTTCTAGTTTCCAGACAATAACTTGTGTTAAAGTTTATGGAACTCCCTGAAATTGTACATTTTTCCTGAAAAGAAAATAATCTTCAAAATTTCAAAAAAAAATTAAGGGGGGGGGGGGGTTTCCAATTTTTTTTGGGGTTCATATTTTTTTCTTCAAAATTTTTTGATTTTTTTTTGGGGGGGGGGGGGGGGGATTTTTTTGCAAATTTTATTTGGGGGGGGTGGGGGGTGGTTATACTTTTTTCTTCAAGATTTTTCAAAATTTCAAATTTTTTCCCAAAATTTTTCCATTTTTACATTTATTATTTCTGATTTATATATAAAAGCAACAAATACAGATATGGCAGGAGATACACACCAAACAGGGTGTGTAAATATAGATTCTACCACTGCATCGAGTGTGATACGATATTTATCTACTCGAGACAGTTAAATTTTCAAATTTAAAACGCGAGGCTCGCCGAGCGTTTTAAATATTTAAAATTTAACTGTCGAGAGTGGATAAATATCGTATTACACGAGATTTGGTGGTGGAATCTGTTTCTCTAATGATTTTCAAACAATACGCAGGCAAATTTATTCCTCCTTTTCGAATGATCTGCAAAAAGATGTGTTCTTTCTATGTGACGTCATCAGGCATGGTCGCCTTTTTTCATGCCGTCATAATAGGAAATTCAGAGGAAAGCAAGAAAATTCAACGTCATAATCGGATTTTAACCAATGAAGAACTGAGATCAAACGAACCACACGTTGATTAAATTTTTTTTATACAATGGGTGCAGAAAGGGATAAATTGACGAAGAATTAGAGAAATTATTATATATAACAGATTAACTAAGTATTGTGCAATAGCAATAGCAAGAAATCTGCAATTGAAAATAAATACAAATCTTTTAACCAATTTCAATGGGATTAATTTAAAGTCTTAAATTTTTGGGGGTTCTAACCTTGTATTACTATTTTGGATATTGGGCCCCATTTTTAAATTGGTCTACATTGAGGTCCAAAGGGTCCAAAGTTAAATTTGTTTGATTTCATCAAAAACTGAATTATTGCGGCTCTATGATATGCTGAACCTTATTGTGCATTTAGATTTTTATTTTGGGCCCTGTTTTCAAATTAGTCCATATTAAGGTTTGAAGGGTCCAAAATGAAACTTTGTTTGATTTCAACTAAAATTAAATTTTTGTTTTTTTTTTTATATGCTGAATCTAACCATGTTGTTAAATTTAGACCATACTAGGTAAATTAAATGTCCCATTTCAAATTTTTAAGATCTTTGACCACATTAATTTTGTGTCAGAAACCTATATTATAACAAAAATGTGATCACAATCCAAATTCAGACAGTATCAAGCTTGAATATTGTGTCCAAACTTGCCCCAACTGTTCAGGGTTCGACCTCTGCGGTCGTATCAGGCTGCGCTTGGCGAAGCATTTTATTTTTTGTGTGTTAAATAAGTTTGTGTTCTATCATATTGTTAGGATATTTACTTTAGAGAGAATTTTTTCACAATTTAAGGAAGATTGCTGAAATATAGATTAGAGATGTTTTTTGCTTTTATTCTAATCTTTGGTATTTTTTTACTAAAGTTTTTGTATGTTTTTCTAATAAAACATGTATCACTGGTTTTAAGTTGTTACTTTTCTGTACCTTTTCATATGCTTCTGTGTACCTTTGATATTTGAACAAAGTGTCACTAACACTAGCACCAGCGGTTTGCATTTGTGCCAATTTGCACTTCATTTGTTCCAATTTATTTTTCATTTGTGCCTAAATTTTTTTTTCATTTGCGCCAATTTACAGTTAAACACAAGTCATGAGACATATATGTTGTATATGTGAATTTAATGATATAATAACAAAAATTGAAGGTGATTTTTTTGGCATTCCTGGTAACTCGGTTCTTACGATTTTGGCTGATCTACTTGATGTATCACCAGATTATTTTCTACTTCTGACACAGAGCTATTTTGCCTCAGTCCTCTGCAACATGGTTATGCTCATGTGAAGTTTTCACAATTGTAATTCCATCACATTCAGTTGTAATTCTAGCTATATGTGACTTATTTGTACATCTTTAGCAAATATTTTCATTTTGGAGAATGTTGGATTGCCTATAAGAATGTCCAGCAAAGATTATTGACTTATTTCCCTGGTTAGTTTCTGTGTGCAGAAGATCCATCTTATCATAACAGAAGTGTTTAAATCAATGAGCCCCCTACTATGTTAGGTGAACATAAGTAACGGTAATTATCTAAATTGTATCAGATCTTACCTGTTTAAATTAAATGGGTGCAAATGAAAAACTAATAGTTGGAAGAAATAACAACTTTGTTTTAGCACAAATGAAAAATATGATATTTTCAAAATGGGTGCAAATGTCATACAATCCACAAGCACATATATTTAAAGATAAGGAGATATGTGCTAATAAGTCATCCAGTCACCACTAAAATCAGCTACATATTTTACACATGAACAAGCTATAACACTTCAATTTTGCTTGTTTTAGTCTGATCTTTCTCATGCTTTATATATAGTAACAGTAGCCATGTTGACCCCAAAGAGACCTTGCCCACTATTTATTTCAATATAAAAATAAGTAGATGTGATATGAGACAAATATTTACCATAGTTCAATTGACAAAGATATAAGCAAATAGTAGGTCTCCTTAAATTTTGTTAAACAATTCAAATGAGAAAACTAACGGCCTAATTTATAACAATACAATTTATTAAACACAAATTTGACAGACAAAAAACAGACAACTACTGAATTACAAGCTCCTGACTTGGGACAGACACAAACAAATGTGACAGGACATGTTTGTGAGCCCTTAACCCTTCCTCTAACCTGGGACAGTGGTACAACAACACAACATAAGAATAAACACTAAAAATAAGTTTCAAATTGCTTAACTCAAAATTAGGTACTAAGCATGAAAAAAAAAAAACAACTAACAAAAAACAATAGATACAACAAAGTTACTGAAAGCTAGTTCAAAGCCAATTACAGCTAATAAATGAATCATGTTCTCCCACACTACAGTATCAATCAGTACACATCCAATGGATTTATTGTAACAACTTCATAAATATCTTTTCTGTATCCCAATACCAGTATGGGACATCATCCATGTACTTAGATTTTATCATTAATTTTTAAGTTGGATGAGTACTGAGATAGTCTATCAACAATACAAACAAAAGAGCAAGTGAAGTAAACATCTATGAAACTAAAAAATCAAAATACAAGTAGAAATCAACATACAGTCTTTATTCTATGTTTTAATATTATATTTATATTGTGTCATAGATCAAACTTATTCCTTAAGTGTATGTTTACTTGTTTTTGTTTAAATGTCTTTTTGATCAAGTTAAGTCATTTCAATTGATATTTTATAGTGTCTTTTTATTTTGTAATGTTACACTACTGTCTCAGGTTAGGGTGAAGGTTGGCGCCTGTTAAAACGTTTAAAACACTCTGCATTTTTATGCACCTGTCCTAAGTCAGGAGCCTGTTGTCTAGTGGTTGTCGTTTGTTTGTGTTGTTCATAGGTGTTTCTCGTTTTTAATATAGATTAGACCGTTGGTTTTCCTGTTTGAATTGTTTTACAGTAGTCATTTTGGGGCCCTTTATAGCTTGCTGTTTGGTGTGAGCCAAGGCTCTGTGTTGAAGGCCGTACTTTGACCTATAATTGTTAACTTTTCATACATTGTGACTTGGATGGGGAGTTGTCTCATTGGCACTCATACCACATCTTCTTATTTATATTCAGCAGAATGTTGAACATGTCCAGAGAAGTATCAGTATATGAAAATTCTCATTTGTCAAAAAAAATTTTGTAATCGTCCATTTAGGAAGGCCAGTTGTGTAGATTCCAATATGGCAACTACCTCACTAGATTTTTTACAAAGAAAACTACCCCCTTAAGGCTATCTGAAAGTTGTTCAGGAAAATACAATATTTCTTTGGTATTAAGTGAGAAATATTTTGATTTCCATAACATAACATTATCTATTTCTTCATACCTGTTTGATGTATGCCCATGATATTTCAGTATAAGACAGAAATATTAAAATCTCATGAAGGCTATTGATTTAAACAAGTCTATCACATATCTTAAGATAGAATACACCTTTCCTTGAAACTACTAAAAATACATGTAGTATGAATTCTTTTATTTGTTTCAAGTAATTTTCCCATGAACTTTGAACACATCTTTGACAATGTCTTTTCTGGCTAGTTTTTCTGGAGTAGTACCAGTTTTATCGTTCAGCATTTGTGCACCATGTTTCAATAGAAGCCTCACTGTGTATGCATGCTGACCTCCACTGGCAATGTGAAGTGCTGTAATAAAGAAAGAATCATTATCATACATACTTACTGAATAAAAATCTCCAGCATCATTAAATCTAAAGCTGCACAATGGTAGTGACATACTGTCACTGTATGCTATGATACCTCTTCATATGTTCTCTGTAAAGGGTTTAGATAACCTGATATTTGATAAGGTTTTTAAACTGTTCTATTATAATCTGTGAGTCAAAACTTGCCAACAACTTTCACAGTTCACCATAGCAAGCCTACTGTCTGATGTGGATTTGTTAACCAACTGCTTGTGCACATTATATTTGCCAGCAGGTAGCATATAATCAACCATTAGATCTCTGAACCTTGGATTTGCTGATTGTTTGTGTATTTGTCCATTGGCAAATATTTCATGCATATTCAGAACAATCTGATGTTAATAACTAAATATAAACGCAATTACGTAAGAAGAAATTTTCTCAATTTGCTTAAGTCACACATCAATAATAATCCAAAAAGAATATACATGTACTATTAATTCAGAAATTATTCTGAGGTTTTAAGTAACACAAATAAAGCGACTGGGTAGATATCCCAATACTAAGAACTTGCATTCTGTATCTAATACATCTTATATCTGTATTCAGCTTTTCCTGAAATCTCAATAATTAATCTTGCATTTTTGTCAATTCTTCAAAAATCGCAATAATAAATGCACACATTAGTTTCTGAATTTACAGTATACAATCAAACTGAAGATTTAATTGAAAAATTACTGCAATATAAATCTCTCTACTTATCTGAACTAAATGCATTGAAAATACATAAAATGAGCTGATGACAAATAAATTAAAAATAGACCAAGTCTTGCACATTTACAACTACACCATAATAGTGTTGAATGACATTTACCAAGAATTGAGGCTAATAAATCATGAGATTTTAAGAATTTTTAAACAAAAATTTCCGGATATAATAAAAGGAGATATTGATTAAATTGTAATTAGACAGAAACCAAACAAAAGAGGGAAAATCCAAGGAATCTTTTTTTTCTTCAATAAGCTTATTGTGGATTCATTAGTATTCGTTGGATATCAATTTCGTGGATTTCGTGGGTAAAGGTCAACCACAAATTTTAATGTTCAAAGAAATACAAATTTGCTATAGGCTTGTATGCACACTTTGGCAAAACCACAAAATAAATATAAACGAAAATAAAATTTGTCCTCAATCTTGGTACCCACGAAAATAAATGAATCCACAGTATGTGAATATCAAATTGCTGATATTTCAATTTTCAAATATATGTCACGATATAGTAAATGGGCAGATTCTAAATCTTATAAAAATCTTAGTGTCAATTTAATTTGACCTTTTACACAGTAATGTTAGGTTCAGAGAGATGATGATTATATTTATCCGTGTACCTGTTCTTCCCATTGTATCTGTATGATCTACATCAGCACCTGCAGACAGTAGAAACCTTGCAGTATCAGTCTGACCTTCCTGAAAAAAGAAAAAATAACAGATACTAACGGATATATTCTACATGATGTCACTAGTAATGGTTGCATTATAATGCTAAGGTAAGTAATTTTTATATAGCAGTCCAAAGGGGTACATAATATGACTTATCCTCTTTCGTCCACAATCTGACAAAAGCAAGAAAATGATTTCATCAAATTTTTTTGAGACTTGGAGTATTCATCATATTTTACTGTCATATATTAGGTAGTGTTTCTATGTCACACTAACTAGAGTATGCTTGGGTTAATTTACTTCTAACTTCTAACTTAATATCTGTGTGAAAACTGTAGGAGGTGTGACGGTGTTGATCATACAACACTTGTACTCCCTTTTATTAATTTTGCTGTAAAATGAGTTAAGTTCCCAAGTTTGAAAAACTACTAGGTCAGAACTTCAACATGTGTGCAATCTTCCTGTGAAGTTTTAGGTATCTGGGTTGAAAACTGTAAGAGGAGTTGAATACACAAATTAGGTATCCATTTTTCCGTGCCCACCTGCCTGCCTGCCTGCCATCACCATAATATAAGCTGGCCAAAAATAGACAGAACATACAAATAAAGAAAGAAATGATTATATGAATAAAAGAGTACTGGGTATATTATATGTCAATGAGCTAGCAATCCAATGACACAAAACAATGAAATCCCTTAAAAAAATTTAACTTAAAATGTTACTGTGACTTGAATGTAAGTGTTCCTTTCCACCTATAACAGTTCATTCAAAATTAAAACCCAATTGCAATTTGTTTTATCAACCCAAACTGTTCAACTGGTCAGAAATTTTAAC